ACAGTCCTTCATCACCTTAAACGAAATAGGGTAATTACATCTCATATAAAATTTTTCTATTTACCAAGTTGACTTCACTACTGAGGTAGAATGGAAAGTAATTTTAGTTAAAATAATATTAACTAACAGCTCTTACATAGTAGGAGAGAAACTAAACAAATTTCTTAGACCAAATTTTCATTTCTATTGGAAAAATAACTTTTATAGTTTTAATAAAAGAGAATACTGCTTCATAAAATATTAAGCCAGTGTTTAGAGCTTCAACTAATACTTAATTCAAATTCCAATAAACCAGACTAAAGTAATTCCAAAAATCACAAAGTTTTTAAAATAAGTCTTAGCGGCATAAATTTAACTTGGAAAAAATGCACTATTTTCTTTTGGCTTGCAACCAAAGAAAGCATTGTAAGACATAAATTACCCCAGCTCGGAAATTATCCAAAGCTATTAAATGCAAAAACGAATGATTACTTATTACTTTTGAATTAGCAAGTAATTAGGTCGCCAAACAATGCCAATTAGTGAATGCTTTCAGCCTTTCCACCATACTTTCGTCAATCTAGAATATACTAATAGTTAAAAGTTTATGAACAACAATACTATAAAAAAAGGCTCTTAGTTAGTAGCTAAAACTAATTTGATGATTTAAATCTGATTATTCTGTAGAATCCTCTACACTTTCATCCGTTTGAGACTATTAGACCATGATATGAAACAGTTGTCAGAAATAGTCAGGATAAGGAATGAGTTTATAAGCACCAAGAAATATAGAATAAAGGCTATAGGTCATTTTCTTCACATCAGAACAATTGAGGTCAACAGCAGTTTGCTAAAATCCTGGAACTTAGTAGGAACCTGGACGGTTCCTGATAGTATAGCTTAAGTGAAACATCGAGTCCTAATTAGACTAAGGCTAATGAATCTAACTAGATAATTGCTTTTAGTAGATAGCAACGGCTAAATCACAAACCAAATGACTAGCCAAAGTAATTGCAGTCGTATTATAAGTAAATATTTATAACACTATTCCTTTATTTGGAATGATCTTTCACAAGAAAGAAAGGTTGAGGAAGCTATTTAGCATAGGAATGGAGGAAAGAAAGTTCCCTAACAATTTATATTGTTGAGGCAACAAATAAGGAAAACAGATAAAAGTTGTATGAGATGTATTCACCCTATTTCGTTTAAGGTGAAAGATGAAAGTTGACATTAACAAAGATACCTGTTTAGCGTGTGCCTGTGGGGCGTCCTCCAAGAAGGTGCGCCGAACAAGTAATGGTTTCCTGAAATTCATCCGAGGTGCTAGTCGGCGCAATAGATCACGTTCTGTTGCAGCTAAATCGGCAGTATGACCATGTAGCATGTCCGCGGCGAAGCTCAGCTCGTCTGTAGACATTGGCCTTCCAATAGGCATACGGGTAGTGGCGGCGAAGGAGGAGGATGTCATTTCGTCACCAGGAGCCTTAGTAGTGGTGCCTGGAGAAGAGCACTCTAGAAGGCTTTGGCGCCCAAAGGGCGCTAAGCGAAATAATACGCTGAATATTCAGGAGGAAAATTGTGCAGAAAAATCGGATAATGAAGTGGAATCTATTTTTCAAATTTGATAAAATAAACATAATTGATGTTGGATTAAATAAATGAGGGAAGTCTAATCGAAACCAGATTCTGATCAGCATTCAATAAACACAGACACTTATGAAAATATGAAGTATATTCCTTCTATTTCGTTTAAAGTGATAAGGGGACTGATTGTCTTATTAGATGAAATAGAGTGAGCACACTTCATACATAAATGATCTACTGGTAGTCTCGAAAACCTAATTATAATTGAAACATTTCGGGAAATCTTTCGTGAGGAGTAAAGATTCAAGCAAGACAAGCAATTAATCGATCGACTTTTACGACTACTACTCTTATATAATAGTAACTAGAATTATTAATATTATTGTTATTATTGTGCTACGCATTTAGCGGAAGCAAAAAAATAAATGGTCACATCAAAGTCACTAATAAGAAGACCAGAATTTAGTAAATGGTCGGCAGAAAATAGAGGCTGTATATGTGAAGATATCTCAAAAAAGACAGCCAATGCTAAACTAGACAAAATAATACCAAAAAAGTCTATAGGACATTCTTTAATTAATATCAGAAACTACTATATAAGTTCTTAAGTATTCATATGATAGAAACAAACTCGTCAGTTACTTCAGTATAACTGGCCTAACGACAGGACATATGTAGAGCTAATAGCTGATCCAGGATACCCATAGATTCACATATTCCCACGTGATAGAAGTCAGGGAAGCTGTGGACATCCTCTCTCTTTCAAAGAAACGTGATGAACACGAGATTAGAAAAGAGCAGAGTCAGCGAGAATTTAACGTACTGCCTGGGAAGACTTAGAAATTCAGTGAAGACATCAAAAAGAAGAGTCTTGCACTCAGGACATTTGATCAACAACAGAAAGAGACATCACCAAGGTACGTCTCATGAGGGAAAAATGCAGTCAAGAAAAGGCGATTGTAGCGAGAGAAGTCAAATCTGGAAACGGCAAAAAATTTCTTATCTGTGCTGACGAAAAAGTTACTGGCCACATGCTTGACCACGGGGAATACTAGCCAACAAACACATGAACATCATCCTAGTACCCTACGATTAGATGGGAATGTCGACTTGGGAGACGAAAGAAGTGTGATTTTCGTGATTGAAAGGGAAAAGAGGAAGCGGTGCATCTTTACACCAGCAGTTATGACTTAAGTAGGACACAGGAGTAGCTTCATTTTGTTTGAAGAGGCGAGTGGAAGGGATTCGTAAGTTGGTTTTCCCAGAAGCTGTAGAGGGATTGCATTGGAGCTGTGGTTGTAGCTTTGTGCGAATAAGTCCTCGGCGCACCGCTCTGCGACCCCGATGAATACGTGCTGAGCTTTCGTCCGTTGTGTGACGGACATCGTCAGAGCAGGACACGATGGCTAATGATAAATCACCAAAGGCACGGAGGCAAGTAAGATGGCCGGCTTCAAGCCTACCTATTTCTTATAGTCCAATTTGGTCCACTTATGCATCTCAAGTTTTGGATGAATTTCCTATGCTTAGCCTCAATATTTGCTCATAAGTTGAGTTAAGTGGGTGGGGATGGCACGTGAAGTGTTTGCAGATAAAGCGTGAAATTGATGCAATTGAGACCGAACAACTACATGCTCCCCTAAAAACATGTGCTTTTGATCTTGCAATGCTACCGCATGTGACTGCGTCACACTGCAAGCGTGTTGTGCGAGCGCATTTCTCTTGAAATGACTGTGAGGTAAGATCCAAAACCAGATTCTAGCTTAATAAGGCACCATCCTCTTGTGCGTTAGTACTTATCGTTCCCCCCCTCTCTAAACCTATCCAACAGCCACAAGTAGTTTCTGCTTAAATGCCTACAACCATATAGGACGTATGCTTGAGAGTAAAACAGTAAAAATAATAAAAGTTGTTTAACATGCTTTTCACAACTTGGTCATATTGGCAGGACGACCTAGATGAACGCCCCTTTTACGGAGTCCATAGTATGCATGATGTTTTCCAGAGTCGGACCGTGGATTTGGTACATTCCCCAGACGTTTGGCCGGCATCGTCAGCAAGCCTTGCCATTCCTAGCACCACACTAACACATATATGCCAGCCTCAGTGAACAAGTCCATAAATTCTGGATTCTCAAGCAGCATGGGAAACTAACTTATGCCACAGATCAAGTTATCACTGTGCAGCAAGTACAACGAATAAAGCTTGTGATCAAGCTTTTATTTCACCGACGTCTAACATCAAACTCATCTACTAGATAGCCAAGTCTGTGACGTTTTGTGCAAAATCCTAAATATTATAGTTGTTAAACTTACTTTGATCAAAATAACTAAGGACGTTTCTTCTTGGTTTCCTATTGATCCATGGTGGTCTCCGTGTGATTTATTTTCCTAAAATTAAAAATATTTCCTTGATCTAAGCGTCTTCTATTTGTTGATCTTTCTATTTCCTGATCTTCTCTAAGTTTACTTAGGCAATATGCAGAGTTTTTGTAAATCCTGCTCTCTTCAAGTCACCTGTTCATTAGATTTTATTCATTCAGGGTATAGATGACCTCTAGGATATTGCGTATTCTCGTATTTTCACCATATATGTCGATTTCCAGTCGACTTCGTGTCCTGTCTGTGCAATGTGTCCCGCTATTTGCCATCTTTCCGTAAACTTGTTTCTGCAGAGTCCTTGGTGTTCCTTGATTCGTAAGCTGATTTTACTACCTATTTC